TAAATTATCTCTGGATTCCCTTTGCCCTTGGCACACACTTCCGTTCGCCCCTTCCCGTATCACTCTACCTCTTCCCTTTCACGCCCCGATCCCGTCACGCTCTCATTTCCCGTCGCCCCACTTCCTCTTTTCTTCTCGTTTCCCCGCTTCCACGTCGCCCTGTCCCGTCGCCCTTTCCTGCGTCGCCCCTTCCCCCGAGTATCTAAGCCACATATACTGCCATCTTACGCTACCTTCCCTCACCCCTTCCCGTAAACCTACACACTGGCTGAAATATATCTCCTATCCACTCTCGAACTCCCCCTTCCCGTCACCCCTTCCCGGTGCCTACCCCTTCCACGACACCCCTTCCCCGTCCCAAAAAACCCCACTTCTTCCCTTCTCGCCCTTACCCGTGCCACCCCTTTCCCTGTCACCCCGTTGCCCGTCCCCTTTCTAACTAGAATTTTCTACAATGTCGTTTGGACCCCTCTAAGAATACACCCTTCCACAAACGTTACCTCTTCCCGTATCCACCGTCTTCCCTCGTCACCCCTTCCCGTCACCCCACCTTCCCGTCACCCCGAATCCCGTCGTCAATCAAACCCTCAAAGCCGGCATCTATTCGCCGTATTGACCACCGCCTTCCCGTCAAACACGTAAGAGTATTGATATAACTTACCCGAGCTAATCACCTTTTCATTTACCGAGTAAACAACCCTAAGTCTTCGCCAAGTCACACACGAACATATATATACTCCGGTCATCCCCTTCCCGTCACCCCTTCCCCGTGCCCTTAAGCCTTGACAAGCTAATTACAAGAAAGCAGAAGCAGCAAAGACCCGTTACCCGTCACCCACTAATCCGTCAAACGCAGCGAACTTACCCAGAGAAGAATGACAATCCCCTTGCCGCGGTAAGACATTCCCCCCCTGATACGCAACATAGAAAGCGGCGAACCCCTACAAAACATCGCGCTGAATTTCCCGTAATCGACAGTAACCCTACATCACTGGCGGGATCAACCCACCCCAAACACTTTCACTCCGTTCTCAATGACACGGCCCCCACCTTTCCCTCACCCCTTTCCCGCCCATTGGTAATACACCCCTTTCCCTCAACATTCAGGCATTTTACACCTATTTTTACAAAACCCCTTCCCGTCACCCGTTATTCAACTCCGGATCCCCACTTCCTTTTCCCGTTTATTCAGCGACTTCTCAGGCTGCGCAGGATAAACACACCAACATATTACCACCGCAACACCACACGGACTACTACCGGGTGGTCTTCCCGTTCAAAATGCCCGTCAACATCACCCTTCCCCGACACAGCAGAGTCACCCTTTTCCCGTCACCCTTCCTGGGCTCACCCCTTCCCGTCCTACCCTTCCGCACCCCTTCCCGGTCCACCCCTTCCCTTCACCCCTTCCCGTCTCACCCCTTTCCCGTCACCCCTTCACTTCGTACACCCCCATTCACCGTCACCCTAGTACAGCCCCTTTGATTGACAACCCAATCTTCCCTTGAGATCACACCCCAAGCTTTCCCGTCACCTTCCTGGTGCCCGGTCACCGCCGCTTCCGAACGAGTAATATACACCCCTTTCCCGTCACCCCTTCCCGTCAACCCCTTCCCAGGACCCTCGCTTGAACCACAAGTATTCTCCTTATTTCTCTCATTCCTTCACCTATTGCCCCCGTTCTCTAATTCATATTGCGACTCATTTCCCATCCAAGCCTGCCTTCCCTCATTTCCGACACTTCCATTCCAGGCATTGTTTCGTCCTTCTTCCTTAGCATTGTTTCATCCCATTAGACGTTTACTCCAGGCGCCATCGCTTCCCACGCCGCACCGCCCCTGTCGAGTTTCCGCCACGTAACGCCTGATGTACTCTGATCGATGGTTAGTCCCTCCCCCTATTCATGAGGCGGGCCGCAGGGGCGAACGGGCTAGTTGCCGCTGTGCTGGGAACGCCCTAGGCGCGGAAAATACGAGGCCCCTCGGGGCACTCACTTCTCTGGAGCGCCCCGGTGGCGCTCCCCTATGAATTAAACGTTTTATTTTTTTGATACGCGACCGAAGCGGAGACCTCGCCCGCAGTCCGTTGATCTGAGAGTTTAAAGAGATATGAGCCTATTTCTCCTATTACTATATTTTTTAATTTATCCTTTCCACAAACTTGTGTTCTGCTTGTAGTTGTTTTACAAAAAATGTCGAAATCTCAGTTCACACCCTTGATATCGAAAACCCGATATAAAGTAGTGTTATCATTCTATGCCCAATTTGCATCAGTGAAGTTGAAATGTATCGTGACTCCTGATCTGCTACGATCTAACCAGAGGTCGAGCCGGCTTGTGTTTGTTTTGTGTTGAATGTGTGAGCAAGTGGCAGGCGCCGATGTGTGTGGTCGCGGTTTGTACTTACGGATGTTAGTGCTTTAGGGACAGTGATACGATCCCATCTTGCGACTGGCGGCTTGGAGCGTGCATTAAGGGATGACGTCATGGTGTAGATTTCTCCTGAGCCCCTTTCCGAAAATTCTGAGAGACAACCTCTCCGACAGGGGAAAACGTTCTTTGGTGGCGTTAAGCACTTAGTGGCCAGAGCACCCGACACACGTTTGGGGGCGCGGAGTTAAGGCCCGTTTACAAGAGGTACTCTGCTTGGTTGATGCTGTGTGGTCCCGACGAGGACCAGAACTCAAGCTTGGAGCCCCCCTCAGTTTAATGCGTTTTCTGCTTAAAATATTCTGCAGAGAGGCAGTATGTATTAGGCAAATCAGACCACCAACTTTTATGTTAGGTGCCGGTAGTGTCGCCTCCCATCGGGAGCGCCCCCAAGGTGTTTATATGGAGAGGGTGTTCACCAACAGCTGTAAGTTATATAGGTTGTTACATCCCTTGAAAGAGGACGCAAGGGGATAAAATAAATGTTCAAGGGAGAGAATAGTTGAATTCATCTTATTATGTTCTGTAAAGGGAACATTTGTAGAGTGTGTTATAATATTTTTCGGAACCTTTGATTTATGTTAAGAATAGCATTGAATCAAATTCAATTTTTACATTAATTTGATTATATCTATCGTGAAATGACCCAAATAGTTGTTTTATGACTATTTTTAACTTTATACAAGTATCTATTTTATCAGATTTAGTATCTACCGCTATTGTTGCAGCAGCTGAACATGACATACGTACTGACAAGCGATTACCTGACTTAACATTAGATATGATTCACGGTATTTACAATGATTGGTCTCAGATATCTAGTATAGAAACCTAGGTGTTTTCTCTAATGCTGTATGCAGTTACACTTTAATACCGTTTTCTGTTATATACAACTTACTGATCTACTAGAGTCAGGAGACTACAAATAACAGAGAATAGACGTTTTATAGTGTCCCTTTTGTAAAACATTTTTTAATAACGGAAAGCTAGCATCAAATTATTGAAGCAACGAATTACGCGGACAGCTATGCCGGTGATTTCCTCACGAATGTTAACCGATGTCTCGCCGCAGCTCTACAGAGGTTTACAGAAAATATGGAGGCACTTCTGTACTTGGCTGCTTAAAAAAGCCCTTAAGACATAGAGAAATCGTCTTGTGGTTCGTACATTAATAGGTCCCGGCCTTTAGCATGTTAGGAGCTTGCGACAATATATAAAACGCTCTTTATAGAAAGCGGTCTCCCAATGAAAAACATTCCAGTCTACTTATGTATATGTGATATCCTTTTTATTTTCTGTGGGTTATTGTACTTTCCTTACGAAACTCATCATTTACGTTATTATGTTACATACTATTATATTATGTTACTATAATTATTAGATGAAATTATATTCTTCTTTTTGAGAGAGGTGGTTCAGATCAAAAATGTTAGAACCACACGACCTTGCACCAAACAACGCAGTTAGCTGTGAAACTTTAACTAGAGGGTGATTAAATACTTATTATTGGAGCACAGTCTATTCTACAGTAATGATGGAGATATTAACCATTTGTAATTAATGCTACAACCCAGGTTGAATATTCCCATATACTTTAAAGATTTTATACATGCTTTAAACCTGGAATCATGTCATCTCTCCTCGAGGCGGTATAAATGTAACTCGTGATTCAACTGCGTCAGGTAGGCCCCAGTACCAACTCGTGCGCCCTATCTGGCTGGCCCATCAAAAATAGGGGATATTAAAACTTAAAACCCATAATCACACAAATTTCAACCAATTCTTCCAAGCTCATTACTTATCTCTGGTTTCGTCATACTAATTAGTATACAGCAGAGTATGAATATTTTGACGAAGTTGCCAAGGGTCTACTAATATGAAAATGATACAGACAGTGATTCAAGAGATTTATAACGTACTAATTAACAATAAAACAAACTAGTTACGTGAAAATTATTGTTAAAAATAATCCATTAATTAAGTGAGGTATACAATTTATTTGTAACAATTTAAGTAAAAAATAGCTGCTCAAAACCAACAGTTAAAAAAATACTCCTGTTCGCTAAAAACTGCAATATCATGTTATTGAACACAAGATAATTCATGAACGAAATTCCACAATATCACACAGTGTGTGCATTTATGACTATTAAGGATGAGCACTAACTAGAGTTCTACTTCTGCACATTCTTTTCTTACTAACATATCAGAAAACAAGGAGCGCTTGGTTGGCTACGAAGACCAGACACTTAGTAGAGTTCTTGCACATAAAATCCAATTTCACGAGTTAATAAATAAAGCTTTTTCGCTATGTATTGTCAGCGCCGAATCTATTACAATCGAAATTAAACGAAAGTGTCGACCTACTATTATATAGGCTGTGGCTTTTTACTCCCACTATCGGTTCCCGCACAGATCGCAAAATTTGTACGTTTTGCTCCGTCTTGGACAAGCAAATAATCAGAACAATGAAGTGTTCCACTCATCTAGCGGGACGATAATTGAATTATAAGAATAATATAAAAACCCCAAAGATGTTGGAGAACCAACGGCTACCAGAATTATCATCTGTTTTATACATAGACTCCCTAACACCACTTTAAAGCGCGGCTTTTGTTTTTTTCATCAGGTTCAACTCCGAGTGATCCGGTTAATGGCCAAGCAGGCGGTGATATTCACCGCTCTGAGGCCCAGAAACCATCCAAGCCCAGGTAACGGCACAAAATACGGCAACGACAGCAAGATGTTGCGCACGGGCAGTCACGCCAAATCCTCTGGCGTTTCATCAATATTCAGTTGGAGTTCACTCTGGGTACGCCTTGTGGAAAACGTGCAATATCGTCAGAGCAACATTCAGTTACGAGGTTTCCAGGTGCTTCGATGCCGGGATGTACACTCAGCGCTCGCCTCGTTCGACCCCCGAGACACGCCCAGTGTGCGCAAAGCTAGGACACCGGGCCACAGTTGTCCCCGACCTATGAACCTTTAAGAGTAGCTTCCCGTACAAACTTCCCTTCCCGCATCTCTCATAGGCGTGCAAAGCTGCCGCTAACCACGCCTAGTCACTCACCTGGTCTACTCCGGTAATCGGAGGTGCACCATAGGCCATGGGCATACCGATCCGCCGGCACGGCACCATCCGCCAGTGGTGACTGCATATGATACGCCTGCGGTGTAGACAAGGTAGGACTGCTCAGATGACTCGGGTAGGGGAATGGCATATTACGCCCACAATTATGGGGCAAAGGAAGCCAAAATACGGCGCGCGATGACGGATGCCCCCTCTACACACGAACCGACGCGAAATAGCAGGGTTGGCAACTTGGTCCTTGGGCACCTAGTAGCGGCTAGACAAATCACGTCGAAAACATTGGAAACCTCAAAAGAACACAGGGACAAACCCGGACGTAAGACGCGACTGTAACACGCTCATCGGGTTTCAACCGAAGCCAAACACCAGCGGCATGCGGCTGAAGCGTTAAACACTCTTGCAGGAACGCACAGCCCGCCCATAGTGCTACCCACTCTTCGAGGCCCAGCCTGGTAGCGAACGGCTGTCCAATCATGCGGTGAATAATAGATTCCGGAGCCCGCCGCGGCTCAGAAGCGACCATGAACTACGTGCGGCCATTGGATTCACTGCAAGGAGCTATTCCGGTGCCCGCCGGGTCACCCATTCCGAGAGTACGTAGGACGCTTCCGCCACCCGCTGCAGAGAGCACTCGTATCTCACCGCCTCGCCCGCCCTGATTCTATTTAGTGTTTGTGTCTTTGGGCCTGGCAAGTTTGAGGACCGCGAGCCCCACGCTCGTCTACTCCCTACCCAGTCACCGCGGCCCGCCCTTTCGCTCGCTGAGTAGTCGCCGAACACATAAATAAAACGCGAATCTGTTCCTCCGGGGGATGTCGTGACGGCGGCGAGGTCCCCTGCGGCGCGGGCTCCCAGCGCTCCGTGCCACTTGCTTCGTCTGTTGTCCGATGTCCGCTGTCCCCTGTCCGCTGTCCCCTGTCCCCTTAAGCTCCGCTTCGTGCGACGAAGACGCTCCCCGCTACCTACAACTCTGCTGCGGGATACTTAGGGCCGAAATGCTTCTCGTCGAATTACAACCGCTTGCACCGCAATTTACACAACTATCTATCTACTCCGCCTAATAACAACGGCTTCAAATACGTTTCGAAACTTGATGTTGAATTGATTACCAACTTAAATTCTGTTTTAGAAATATGACTGTGTTGGGTGATCTGCTGATGATATGCAGTGTAATCTCTGTTTTACTCTTTATACTGGTGTTTCGACGTTCTGGATGACGTCCCTCCTCTCTCTTTCTCACTCTCTCTCTCTCTCTCTCTTTTTTCTCTCTCTTTCTCTCTCTGTCTCTCTTTCTCTATTTCTCTCTCTTTCTATCCCTCTTTCTCCCTGTTTCTCTCTCTTTCTCTCTCTGTCGCTCTTTCTCTCTCTTTCTATCTCTCTTTCTCCCTGTTTCTCTTTCTCTCTCCATTCTCTCTCTTTCTCTCTTCATTCTTTCTCTCTCTCTCCATTGTCTCTCTCTTTCTCTCTCCATTCTCTTTTCTTTCTCTCTCTCTGACATCCTCCATTTTCATCTCACTCTCCTTCGCCTAGCATCTCTATCTACCTATCCATCCATCGATACATACATACATACATACATACATACATACATGCATACATAAACACATACAATCATATCATGTAAATATTATTTTCTTTTGACACTTAAAAATTTTTGGCTAATTCATGAATTTAAAAAAAACTATTAAACTTTCCCATATGTTGTACGCCTGTTCTTGTTAATATCCTCAAAATAGTTTTCTTCGTTGACATCTGTTTTCCTTTTCTGCATCGCACAAGACATCATTGGTTTCATCGCATATCTTTATTACGTTTCTCCTTTTCCTCATTGCTTCGTCATCTGATTCATTTTGTTCGGCTCTTTGGTGTTTCCCTTTCTGTTCAACACTTGGTGTCCCACTGTTCAATCTCCACCGATTTCGGCTGGACTCGATCCGCTCCAATTATAATTGATACCTCGGCTCCTGCTGTTATCTTTCCACCCATACCGGGAGCCGTGGCTCAGGATATTCAACGATGTCAACGCGGTGCCTCGGAACGGGACGTCCTAGAGTTCAAGTGCCGACAGTGACAGGAATTTCGGCACTAGCTTGGAAACTAGGTCGAACTCAGCTGCTGCCTGTAGAGGAATTCTAGCAGCCGTGCTTTCTCCGATCACCACAAGTTGAATGCCAGAGTAGTACCCTAACAAACGGGCCTCGGACTGCGGACGATCTTTCCTACCTCATCCTTGCAATATCGTCACCTCTTACACACAATTACACTTATATGCTCTACACTACTACGCTTGTCGGGAGATCAGTCGGGAGCTTAGAGCTTTTGCCGGCTGGGGCGGTGTCCCACTGGTGGGAGATACCTAATTCAGGAACACCCCGCTAGCCACGGCAAGGTCGGCGCCAGATCTCATTGTTCAGCTAGGGAAGATCTTCGATACCTCCTGAATAAAAACATGCCTCACACTTACGGGACGAATGACGTAAGCATATGAAATGCCCGTAATCACTAAACAATCAATCAAAATATCTCTAGGCTCAGCTTATCCCGGCTTCCTCCTTGCCACGCTCCGTTTGATATTGTCTTATTTCTTAACCCTGTCTGAATGTTTCATCCCAGTGTTTCTCTGGCGTACCTCCAAGTCGTAGGCATCACCCAGCCAGCCAATACGTTCTTAGAGCGTCCAAGTTCACATTCACTTGCACAGCTTCTTCCTCCGCATTTCAACCCCCATCGCTCTGCCCGACTCCCCACCCTTTTGTTTCTCAGTACACCCTGGTTAACCCCATCTATCTCCCCTCCGTGCTCCTCTGCTACATTCGGTTCTCCTTGCTTTCGTACCCGCCCTCCTCCTCCCCCTCCCAGCACCGCTTCCGCTGGTCCACGGGCGCCCCTCCTGGGACGACCCATCGCTGCAATGAGCGATCGCACAAGATTGGCCGGATGCATTATAGATGGGTTAGGCTCCGGAGGGCGGTCGATGGAAGACGCCGCGCTCCCCGCTTCTCCTCCGGCCCAGCCTTCACCTCCGTCGCCCGCCTCCTCCACGCCTCCGCCCCGCCCCGCCGTGGGTGACGCCTCCACGCCGCTACGTCTGTCGCGGATCCCGAAGACACTCCGCTGCCCCGGTTCTGCTCTAGGGAATGAGGTTCGCCGTCGTTAGAGTGATTAGATTCTGACAAGTTAGGAATCGTAGGAAAATAATCTAAATTTTTGGAAACCCTCCAACAATTTAACCGTAGGAATATTTTATTTAATATTTAATTTTTTTCTTAAGCTCTCTAGTAGACTTCAGAAGACACTTCTAGGACACGTTATTCCTAGGAAATGAGAAATAATCGATATATTCGTGCGTCGTTAATGCATTAAATTTTGACAAGTTAGTGTTCCTTGTTAGATCTTAACAGAAAATATTCTGCGTTTTTGTAACTCTTTGAAAGTCTATATGTGATATCACTTCACAAATAGTTTTAATCTTTCATGTGTGTTTTTTCAAAGCTTTCTTAGTAATGTCTATTGCTATAATTTATGCTAATTATATTATCTGTAATTCTTTTAAACGTTTAACACATCTTTCTTCGTGTACTTGTAACTTATCTATATTTAAATCAATTGTATGTTTATTTTCCTCGCTAAATTATTGCGACTTTATGTTTACGTTCTCCCGATCGCATACGCATACTTCTCTGATTTAGAGCGTTGTCTGTCTCAGGAGTGGAACGACTATAAGCTCAAGTGGAACCCGGATGACTACGGCGGCGTCGACACTCTGCACGTCCCTTCGGAGCACATTTGGCTGCCTGACATCGTGCTTTATAACAAGTAAGAATGACTCCCTTTTCAAAAGGAACACTACGTAATTTTGAAATATATTGCGATAATTAATGACCGTTACACACAAACTGTGTAGTCAACACTTCCCAACTAAAATAATAACTGTGAGAGCAGAAACATATTTTGAATTTCTAAGATAATTTATTGCTCATTATTTCGATGACATTTAACGTAGTGTGACGTATTTTTTCAATTTCTTGTTAATAGTAACTTGTTACTATTAACTATACAAGTTCTGTTAACTATACTAGTTAACAGAACTTGTATTGCTTTTACAATGTCTATATAATATATTCATTAGTACACATATATTACGACACTCGACGCATTTTAATGATTTGTATATATTGTCAGAATATATTTCTTGGTCTTATAACCGTCCCTCATCAACACAGTCACTTTCTCTTAATATTTATATTTTTGTTTTAAGTAAGAAAACTATAACCTAAAAAAGAAAGAAGTTTTGTTTACAAACATAGCATGAATGTTTAAAGAGAACTTTTGAACTAAAGGAAAATGAGCTTCATATTCAGCATTAATAAAAATCCTTTTGAAAATTTCAGCCACTCATTTCGATTATCACAATTTCTTTACTTCTTCCTACATTCACTTCCTACATTAACTCTACGGCGTTTTCTCTGCTTCATAACTTCATAAAATATTGATAGTACAATAACCTTCGTGAAAATTATTTTTTAAAGGAGTGTCTAACTGAAAACAGAAACGACTGTAAAACACTATGTAATCGCAGTTGTTTTGTAAGTCGTAAAACTTTACGTAGACCAATGACTTCCGTTTTATTAAACAAAAAGAAATGTGTATATGGATTTACATTTGCAAAACAAATTTTCTTGGCACAGCTTCAACACGAAAAGAACAAAATAAACTCGTGCATCTTCTTCGCAGCGCGGACGGGAACTACGAGGTGACCATCATGACGAAGGCGGTCTTGCACCACACGGGCAAGGTGGTGTGGAAGCCGCCCGCCATCTATAAGTCCTTCTGCGAGATCGACGTCGAGTACTTCCCCTTCGACGAGCAGACGTGCTTTATGAAGTTCGGCTCCTGGACCTACGACGGATATTTGGTGAGTGGCCTTGCCCGCCTGGCAGCCCCGAGCAGCAGCGGGGGGAGGGATGTGGAGGCACGGGGGAGCAGGGTGGGGAAGCCGGAAGGGGGGAGGAGGGAGGGTCCATGATCAATAGCCGTAACTGGGCCATTCATTTCGTTATTTATGTCCTGTCTGAATGGGTGGAAATAGAATGATGGCGGATGCCGACCCACTCCGCCACTTTGTGCGCAAATGTGTTGCATTGTCGAAACTCCAACCCGGATGGACTCCTCTCAAATCGAAGCCACTCTCGCCCTAACTGGGAACGTTTATGGAGCACGAGGCGATCCCGGCAGATACATTTCTCTACGATGTAAACGAGAGCTACGCATCTATCCTTGCCTATGTACTCGTTTTGATTACTGACGTGTTTCAATTACTTTCATTAATTTTGCTATACAAGTGCAAAAAGGAGCAAAGATCTCTGTACTTTTACAATCATATAAGTAAAACTAGCAACATCGATGAATTTATTTCTGGTGTATAAATTACCTACATTTATCATGACTTTTATTTCAATAAAAATGCACAAAAATCTATTATTTAACAAAACTATTTTAGTTACACACTTTCCTAGAACTAGATATATCTTTTTGTTTTAAATTAAATTAATCCCTTTTGCGCGAGAAAATTCAGTAACAGGTTTCAGAGAACTACTAGTGCTTGTAGTTTTAGAGAGTGACTCACATTGTAACATCACGGTCCTTCACTTCTCCGTCGTCAGTAGCCTCTGGCGTCCCACGCGCAGCTCTGCCTCCCATCGACCTCTTCATCACGCCCTGCGCGGAGGACACGGCGTCAGCCGCGTGCGCCCCCATACGTCACCCTCCTCCGGGACCGGGGCGCGCCCTCGCCCGGATTCGTGGCCCCGTTCCCCTTCTCTTTCCTTTCCCTCTGGCAGTCTCGCCCCTTCGCCCCGCTTCCCTGGATCTGCCTCTCAATCGGCTTTGCCCTTCTTGCCCCTCGTCCGCGCCTCAGCCCGGCGCCCACCCATTCCTGACTTGCCCATCATGTTCGATATTCCTGTCAGCCCCACCCCACCCCGCCCATCTCCACCCTCCCCT